CACGCACACGCACACGCACACGCACACGCACACACAAACACACACACACACACACACGCACGCACGCACGCACGCACGCACACACACACACGACACACGCAGGCACGCACGCACGCACGCACGCACATACGCACAAACACACACTCACACGCACGCACGCACGCACGCACGCACGCATGCACGCACACACACACATGCACACACACACACACGCACACACACGCACACACGCACACACGCACACACGCACACACGCACACACGCACACACGCACGCACGCACGCACGCACACGCACACACACGCACACACACACACACACTCTTCCCAGGAGGTGCGCAGCAACAAGTGACACAACTCAGTGCAGACTTCCTGTAAAGGTACGACCAACGTGTTCGCCAGAACGCCATCCAGGGAACGGAACGCACAAGCAACCAAAGGTAGCAAGCAGTAGCGGCCACGTGAGGCGTGCCGACTGGCGGCCAGGGTCAGGGCCAGGGGCCGGAACCGGCCCAAGGACGGACAAGAGAAAGACCGGGAGTCAACGTAGTGGCGGCGTGCGCGCGAATACTCTCTGGAGGTAGGAGAGGGTACGGGATAAAGCGGGGTGGTGCTAATTTTATGTGCAGGCGAATCTGGCGATGTTATTCATCGCAGATAGCATCGCCATTTCCACGGGGCATCATACCCGTTTCTGCCACACCCCTTTCTGACCTCCAAAGGCCCAGGGAGGCGCTACAGCACAAAGTGAGAGTAGCAGAAACATACCAGTAATTACAGCCGTATTTTCTTGCTCTAGGTTCAAATTTTCAGGCCCACACCGCCGCTGCCTCGTCGACGCGCGCGGTCCACCTGCGAGGACGTCGTCGTCGACATACGTCGACCCGATGACCCTGGCGCAGTTCTCGATGACTTCTCTGCCCTGTTGGGGCCATGTTGAAGCCTTCCGAATCATTGTTTGAGCATGAGTGGCGCATAGTCGTAGAGGATACCGCTCTCATATTGAAACCACGTCGAAACCTTCCGAATGACGGTGCCCCCATGACTACCGCATAGTCGTCGAGGATTCCGTGCCGATGTTGAGACCACGTTGAGACCCTCAGGCCAGGGGTTCAGCATCGCCCAAGCGTGAGTTCCGCATCGTCATCGGGGATTCCACGCTCATGTTAGGGGCCGCATTGACGCCCTCATGCCAAGGGCTCAACGTCGCCCAGGCGTGACTTCCGCTCTCTGTACTCGCGCTCGCTGGTCTCTGCACTGCAGCTGATCGAGATGGGCTTCACCTTACCAACCTGTCCAACTTCGCACTCGCTGATTCTGACACTGCAGCTGATCGCGCTGGGCCCAGACACTGTAAGCAGCGTCTCGTTGAGCAGTGTCACAGCGCGCTGCCACTGCTCGTTTTTCCCGCAAGAGTTGATCTGTTGGGCTCCGACTTGGAGACCAGCCTCTCGCTGACCAGCGTCGCGGCCTATTGCCAGTGCTTTCCATTCTCCCACTCTCTGATCCCCACACTGTAGCTGATTGCGCTGTTCTCCAACATCGCACCCAGTATTCCGCTGAACAGCGGCACGGCAGGGTGTAGCTGCTCTCCAAGTTCGCACTCGCTGATCCTGGCACTGTAGCTGATCGCGTTGGCGTTGCATGAAGAAGCGTTCAGTTCCATCTCCACGCCATCGACGTTTTCCTTGCGGCCCGTCCTGCCGCCACCAGCAGCCGCATTCAGAAGCGACGCCAGGCCAGGTGATGCGCACGGCTGGGCCGCTGCGCGGGCCGCGGTTGCC